GGTATGGGTTGGTGTCGCCAACTGACAAGGCTGGCCTGCATTTCATTTAGATTATAGCCGGAAGGAGGTGAATCTCTGGAAAAGCATTTTATTTTAGAAGTTTATTGTTAGTGATAGTGAGTGAGTGTCTTTGCATGTTAGTGAGTGTGCTGGGGCCGGTTTTGATTTTTGTGCACACAGGCATCCTCAAAATGCCTAAGGTAAAATCATCCATGAAAAATAAAATCAAATTATGGTTGGGGAACAATTTGGACACTAATTTTCAATTTACTTCTTCAACCAAAGACAATGAGTTATTCTACAAAGTGTGTGGAAAAGTTCTAAGTAAACATTTAAAATACTGAAGCTTGAACTATGTTCACATTTTTGTTTCCTAGTTTAAGTGCGAAAAAAAATCACACTTTGAACAACACTGCATTGGCGATGCACATAAAAAGAACCAGAATAAATCGAGTAAACAGACTTTAATAAACATTAGTTGCGACAATGATTTTACGCAATTTTGCACCGATTTATGTAGGGCATTTATCGCAGCAACTATTCCATGGAATAAAGTTAGTTGTCCTGAGTTTAAAAATTTTATGCATATATATAGGAAGGCATCTATCCTCAGCAAGCACTCTGAGAAAAAATTATTTACCAAAAGATTACGATATGGTGAGCACTAGAATTTTTATTTAAAAACTTTTTAACATAAATTTTATAATTTACAGATAATTAAACAATTTGAAATTCACAACAGCCGGCCTTCTGCAGTTAATCTAAGAATTGCAAATTGTATTATACATCTTGAATTGTACCGCCTTGTCACTAATAACCCTTCGTGGTTGATGTGACAATAAACATTTACATAAAAAAAAAAATTTGAAATTCTATTGGTAATAATGACGACGGACAGATTAAGAAGATACATAGCCCATTTAGTAACTGGAAAGTTATCTTCTGATTGAAGCTAGCCGTCCATTTCTACTAGCTTTGAACCAGCTTGATAAAACTAATAGCAACACAATTTCGAGATTTATAAACGAATCATTCGGTCTGCTATTGATAATTTTAAGCATTGAAATTATTATAATTTATTTAATTGTTAATTTGTAGCTTTATTGTGGCCAAAAGGAACTGAACACAAAAAAGTTAAATAGTTTGTATCAGATGGTGCTTCATACATGATCAAAACTGGTACTAATTTGAAGGTGTTTTATGAAAATATAACACACTTAACATGCATGGCACATGGGTTACATTTAGTGTCTGAAACAATTAGACTGAATTATCCAGATGTCAATGGAATAATTAGCAATGTTAAGAAAATCTTTTTAAAAGCACCAATAAGAGTAGAGTTTTATAAAAACAGTTTACCAAATACACCTCCTCCACCTGAACCTGTATTAACCAGGTGGGGCACTTGGGTTCAAGCAGCATTGTTTTATGCAGAGCACTTTGATGTTTTTAAACAAGTCAGTAAATATATAATGATTTTTTACTATCATTCTTATATTGAATATTTTTAGGTTGTAATGTCATTTGAAGCCACAGATGCACAAAGCTTTAAAAAAGCTCAAGAATTCCTGAATAAAGCAAACGTTAAAAATGAACTCTTGTACATTAAAACTCACTTTAAAATTATTGCTGATGCAATAGAACAATTAGAAACTATAGGTTTAAAATTAAACCAAAGTATGGAAATTGTAGAAAAAGTGTATACATCTTTAAAAAAACACACCAGGAAAGGTGGGGGAAATGGCGTTCCAAAAATTATGTTCTCTATTAAAAAAGAATCTAGGATACGATTTTATATGTTCAGTAAATGACGTAATTTGCGGTAATGGAAATGCTACCAACAATACATACATAGATGAAAACGTAGATTGTACAATGTTTAATTTTGCATCACTTCTTGTGATGTGGAACGCACATTTTCAAAACTTAAAAGTGTTTTAAGCGATCAAAGGCGTAAATTTACAATCGAAAATTTAGAGAAATATATAGTTTGCTTTTGTAACTCATTTTAAATACCTGAATTATTATTTTATTTTTTGTTAAATGCGACTTGCTTTAATTTGATCGCCATTTTTTTGCGATAACTTAGAATTAGTGAACGTAACTATAGATCGTTTGTTTATTTAATCATTTTTTTTTGTTTGTTACACAAAATATTTGTTTCCATAATGTTTTTTTTAATATATATTTTTTGGTGTATGCTTTTTCGTTGAGCAAATATTTTTTCCTCCAGGTTTTTAACCTAAACTAAGATTTTTATAACCTAATTCGTCAATTTTGGGACCTAAAAATGTCCCCCTTTATTCATTTTTTAACGACCTAAAATCTGAAGCCTAGTGATTACTCAGACTAAAGTACGAATACCTATAATCCTTTTTGTTGGATAGGTACATATGTATTTATAACAAATATGTTTGAAAATCATATCTAAGAAAATTCTGTGTAAATAAAAAGAACGAAATGTGTTATGTAGGTTATATATTATTATATAATTCCTTATCTTCAGACATTTATTTATCTTCCTATGTTAAATTTTAGACCGACCCCCTGTTAACTTTTGTTAGGGTGAAAACTTAGAAATGATTTTTGCAGTAAAAATAGCCTTAGGATTCTACTTTAATTTTCGCTACCACATTTTGCAGTAAATTGTAAATTCTACTTTAAAAAATAAAATAAAAAATTATTTTGATTGAGGTTCTGATTTATCAATTTAACTTGTGATTTTTAACAGCATGATTTTAATTTAATCATTTATTATTACATTTATTGCAGTTTTTAAAAAAGAAACAGAATGATGGAATTCAAACAGATATAAAGAAAATAAAAGATCATTTCACTAGAATTGCGTTTTTGATGTCCACGATCGAGAAGACATGTGTTTATAGATCTGCCACAATTGTTTTTACTGGTTTCTGTCTATTAAATGCCTGCTTACATTTATAAAAGTTGGATGGCAGGAAAGCCATAACTGTATCCTATATGTAAAATAATGTACCGAAATGTCAATTGTCAACATTTGTCGAGGAATTGAAAAGCAATGAATGTGAAAAACAATAATGTAAGTAACTTTACCGGTTTTATTTAAAGTGTTTAATGCTTGACTGGCCGCTAATTCTCTTCGCAAAATTTTTTTGATTAAACAACAAATTGTAACTGTGACACACGAAATGTATCATGCAAACGTGATCAACCAAATTTATTTATTTTTTAATTAATTTTTGGATTATTGGATTAAAATGAGCAGAAACCGATAAAAACTTGAATACACGAACCGAGGGTATGGCACTTTTTACATCTTAGGTATGTTAATAGCTATAAATTATGCTCTTGTCGGGTATGGGACGATGTGGGAATGCTACAGCAAAATTTTGCGCAATTTCTCTGTTATCGATAAGCCTTTAATGTATCCATCAGCGACCATTTCCACTTTTTCTTTAATTGGGTACTGGGGCATGTAATCGAACGAGTAAATAAATTTTAGAAAAATTATTATTATTTTTTAAATTTTGTTAATAAAAATTCTTTAATTTAAAGCATAACCTTTAATAAAATCCGAAACTTTACTCAAACATAAGTTAACCTAGAATAGGGTTTAAAATTTAACATGGGAATCCCTATGGCCATTTAAAAAAAAATGCGTGGTCGTCACTGGCGGAATTCGAATTTATTACTAGTTACACTCCTAATCTTCCATGAAGAATATGTTATTTACTACCGTTGAAGTAAATATTTACTCAAAGTCGTACTTTTTGTAATTATGCCATATGCTTTAGGACACATAACTTTTATACGTATATTTTATGCATATACTATTTTTATTATTGTGTTTTATGCATATACTCCATTAGATACAAATAATAATGTCATGTTTTAAAAGTACATGATCTGGATTAAACCCGCTGATGGGATAATTAGTTAGCAATTTCTGACGATCCAGCTTCAACAGTGTAAATCAATTGATTAAAAAAAAATGCAGATTTTGCCAGAGGTAATTCTGGATGTTCTTATAAAGTGTTTATATAAGGAACAGTAATTACTTACGCATCTATTTACCAAGTACGATTTTGATATCTGATATAAATTAACTGTAAATAATTAAGCACTCTTCATTTGTCAGTGTTCAGCTGGAAGTAAAATAATGAACGGTGTAATTAATATCTGCTACATCAAACTTGGATGGTATATATATGAATTTGTAATATACAGTTTTGTGTATTAAAATTTATTCTAACAAATTTTTCAGCATTTTTTTTCATTGCAATGTAGGCATTGGTAAAAGGTGTGTTTCTATGTCATCTAACATATGTGTATATTCTGTATATACTAGAAACGCTGTATTAGCCATAGAAAATATGAATACTTCTGTTATGATCCCATCTTATCTACTGTCTGATCTACTATAAAATGCAAGAAGCTTAATACCTATACAACACGATTTTTGGGTCATTATTTTTTATCTGATTATGTTTGATTCACTTAATAAAATGTACACGTTTTTAAAATGACCAGTAATTTTCGAATTATATCATAAAACAAACACTATTTGAAAATATTTTGGTAAATAAAATACATGGATTGATCTGTGATATTCATGTACTGATAATTTTAAATCATCTATTGTACCACTAATTACAATGTGACTGAATAAGACATGATAATTATCAGAAGCCGGATACATTATTACGTCAGTAACTGTTAATAAAAATCATATCAAGTATAAACAAACTATTGAAATGATGTAATAATGTCGTGAATTTTGTATGTCTGCTCCGATAATGATAACAGTAACTAGGGTTAAATTTTACCGTACGTTGCAAATAAGATTTCTTTGCTCACATATATTTTAAGTAAACAATAAAATAAGCTGAATTTTTGCGCAGATCAGATGATCAAATACAAAGTCCGATATCTATTGTATTTATTTCCCCACCATAATACCTACTCTTTCTAATAAAAATCTTCGTTTTTAAAATTCTGATGTAATTAGTACCCAAGTCAGCGTGCATCGCATACAGCTTTAATATTTATATTTATTTGAAAGTATCTCTGTGAGAGGTTTTCGCTGGAACACTTTGTATTTGATTTTTGTATCTTGTTCATAGTTTACCTAGAATTTTCTCGTTACTACCGAAAATGCCAGCCATTGAATTTGAAACGCACCCTTCCGTATCAGGACTGATCGTAAAAGGAGTCACCGATCAGTACGCTGACGGTAAGATGGCAAACGTCTACTCAGAATTTGTCGGAGATACGAACGTTAGAACTCAGAAATATAAAACATTTCTGCTCGATTTGCTGCGAAAGAAGGGCTGCAGGAGAATCTTGGACGTTGCTTGTGGAACTGGGTACAAACTATAAATAAAATTATTCTTATTAGAAAAAATACCACCGTTTTATTTTAAGTTGAGCGTTACACAATTTTTTTGCAGAATTGACTCCATTATGCTTCTTGAAGAAGGATTCGAGGTGGTTTCAACCGATGGCTCTGACAAAATGCTCAGACATGCATTCGAAACAAGGTGGGAAAGAAGGAAAGAACCGGCATTTGACAAATGGAGTAATTATATTAATATCATCTTAAATACAAATGTTAAATTAACCCTGATTTTTGTAATTACAGTTATTAAGGAGGCGAACTGGTTAAATCTTTATGATACTGTGCACGATATTGTTGGAGATGGATTTGATGCAGTAATTTGCTTTTTTAGTTCGTTTGCCCATTTGTTAGACTCGTATGGTGATCAACGTGAACAGAAGTTCGTTGTTTTAGGTTTTTCTTTGAAACATTTTAATAATTATATTTTAGACAAGCTATATCAAATTTTAAAAAATGCTTAAAACCGGGTGGTTTACTTTTAATTGACCATAGAAATTATGATAAACTTCTTGAAGGAAAAGTTCCTGAAATGGGTGTGTACTATAAAGTACGTACTTAAATGTCTTGACATAATGCAATTGACTGATCAAAAACAATATTTTAGGACAGTTCTATTACAAATATAACAACATCCGTTTTATCTGTAATGGGAAAACCGGGCTTAATTATTCGAGACTATATAGTAGACGCCGACAAAAATAATCAAAATAATGGTAAAATGATCAAGTCTGACAGTAAAACGTAAGTTTGCACTAATAATAATTTTTCTTAGGAAGAGTAAGCATGTTTGTTCGTTTTTACAGGGAATTGCGATTAATGTTTTACCCTCATACTATGACCAGTTTTAGAAATATGCTCATGGAAATTTTCGGAAAACAATCAACATACTCCACCTTGGGCGATTTTCAAAATCTAAATGAAATTGAAAATCCTACTTTCTACATTCATGTTGTGGAAAAATCATAATGAGAATTTTTGTTTTGTTTATTGTTAAGTCTGTTACTTGCTTTTACTTAGTGCTTACACTAATAAGTTATTTCGTAAATTATTTCATTAACTTAGTTAAAGAACCTATTAACAGCCGACCTTGGCACAACACATGATCTGCTATTAATTGTGGAAAAATATACATATATATTTTTGCCAATTATACTCTACCTACATATTTACAACTGAAAAAATGTTCTAAAGTTGTTTAGATAGAATGTTCCTGGTGTCTAAAACACATCCAGTTTCTTAAATAAAGCATAAAATTATGTTCTGCTAGTTTTATTTTTTTGTGATAATTCCTGCAAATTAAAATATGAACAGAGGTAGATTAAACAAGTGCTATGTTTCAAGTGAGGTTTTAGTAATCAAATTTTCTTATGACTTCATCAATTTTTTAGTAGATTGTGGTACTAACAGCGGCAGTCTCAAAATTTCACGATAAGTACATCGATAATTTCTGGCTTAATCAAGGAAACACACTGTTTCATTAGTTTGTTTTTTTTTGTCATGAAAAGAGAATAGCGCTATAGTCCCATCCTCTTCCCACGGTTTTTTCAGACATGGCGACGCCAAGAAGTTTTTTTAAAAGGATGAACTGATAAACTGATCAGCATGTTAAATATAATTTCAGATCGTATGTAATTTGTGACCAAAAACTTTTGTTATTTTTAAAATAAATTATTTGTTTTGTTCTACAATTTTAAATTCATTTACCGTTATGAATAAATGAACCATGAAAAGCCCAGTAAACACAGTTGTGATGTTGACGTGACAGGTACGTATTCACAAAAGAACAATAAGTACATCGCATGATTAGGGGAAAGTCCCCCTTATTGGACCAGTGCCTGAATTGAACCACCCTATTTTTTTTTTTATCTAGAATAGTTGCCGACATCTAGTGCATATTATTCGAAAGTATTTGGCGCCAAAGCAGTGTTGTGTAAAATTCCATTCTGTAGCGGTAAGTGTCTGCTTGTTAAATTGCAAAGAAATTTTGCTACCATTGTGATACAACTTTTCGCATGTTTCTGTAAGGATATATAGCCTAAATTATTTCATAAATACAGTGCACAAAGACTACATTGGTCAAAGCGTAATAAAATTAAGAACCTAACCTAGAAATAAATATGTTTTATTTCGTTATAGCGTTTTAACACAAGAAAATAGTAAATTTTATACCAGCGCGTATATTGGACCACCTTAGATTCTCCTTATTTGGACCGGTCTAATTGAAGGAACTCCCGATTTGACCAATCACGTCACAGTATCTAGGCGCGTAATTTTAGAACTTCGTATTACAATGCCCAATAATAAATTTTTTTATAATAATCTATTAACTATGATTTTATACTAGATGGATGCGGAAAAACAAGCAAAAAAGAAGTATTATAAATGGAGCGAAGAGGACGTGGATAACGCACTAACTGCTTTTCGTAAAAATCAACTAGAGTTGAACGAATGTTGTCGGCAATTTAATGTGGCAAAAGCCACATTTAAAAGACGTTTGTCAGATAGTAACAAACACATTAAGGGCAGTACGAAACGCGCCGGGGTGATTACAACGTTGCCTGCCGAATTAGAAGCTGATTTAGTGGAACACGTCCTTAGGTTAGAAGCTTGCTTTTTTGGAATCACCAGACGAGATGTGATGAACCTTGCATATCAATTGGTGGAGAAAAACAAAATATACCACAGATTTAACAATACTCTACAACGTGCTGGAAAAAAGTGGTATTACAATTTAATGTGGCAAAAGCCACATTTAAAAGACGTTTGTCAGATAGTAACAAACACATTAAGGGCAGTACGAAACGCGCCGGGGTGATTACAACGTTGCCTGCCGAATTAGAAGCTGATTTAGTGGAACACGTCCTTAGGTTAGAAGCTTGCTTTTTTGGAATCACCAGACGAGATGTGATGAACCTTGCATATCAATTGGTGGAGAAAAACAAAATATACCACAGATTTAACAATACTCTACAACGTGCTGGAAAAAAATGGTATTACAATTTCATCAGAAGACATCCCGAACTATCACTTCGATTACCAGAAAAAACATCCATGGCTTGGGCAAAGGGTTTCAACAGAGAAAATGTTACAGAATTTTTTAACATATATGAACGTATTTTTTTTTCACATTTTAAATAAAATTATGTTCATTTCATGCATTTTTACCAAGAAGGTCAAATTTAAGAACCGGTGGTCCAATTCAAGAATATAGTGGTCCAATTTAAGAACCCAGTCTCCTAATTTGGACCACTTGCAGACCTTAAAAAATTATTTTTTTTAACCAATTTGGATGTTTCAAAAAATTCTAAAAAAATTACCAAACATTGAAAACATGTCAAAGTTAATGGCTCAACACTAGATAAGTTAATATCGTATTACATTTTGGTTTTAATTGAAAAAATGTCCCACTAGGTCCGAATGAGGGGACTTTCCCCTATGTCTTAACGATATACCTGGAACGTAAGCTGTATAACATCAAAATGGAGTACTCATGCTATCTAACCAACACGTAATGTTGACTACATTTACTAGATATCTCATTATTATGTCGCAGTTTTATTAGTTAATTATGTAAAGTGTTTTTCAGTTCATTTTACAAAATGGCATGTTAAATCGAAAATTAACGTTTCTGACAGGGCAACAGCAAAAAACATTTAAAAACATACATATCGAGTATTATATATGTAGCTCTATTTTATATTTATTATTTATGTTTGAGTTGCAAGTAAATAGTATATTCATAAACAAAAGATGCTGAGTCTTAAAAAAATAAATTTCTTCCCTGTCTTAAATCTTGCACAAGCGAGATGACGCCAGTAGTGAGTTACTCTTAATTTTTTTTTTCATATTATATTTCCTGTAATTATATTTATTTATAATTTTATTTTTATACGTCCATAACGACCTGCGCTTTATAAAACGGAACAAGAGACTTAATGCACATAGTTTATGATCAGAATTAAAAAATGTCCCATCTAACAGGTAATACGAATTAAGACTAGTAATGAGACATTATTTTTTAACCTCTGCCTATGCGTCACTGCCAAAAAGGAACAATTATACATATACAGAATTTGGAAATGAGCTCGAAAAATAAAATGATATATTTCATTATTTTATTAATTCTAATGCAAAATATGTTGATCGGCAACAAAAGCAACACAAAGAATAAAATCGAAATTAAAAAACTAATCTATTTCAAGGTCAGCGATATCGTTCCTAAATAAAAATGAATTAAATAATTTCTTCACTATGATCGTAAGGAAAATAAAAAATAATTTGAATACGAAACAATAATTGATCATCGAGTTTTGTGTATTGACTTTCGCACTCAGTTATAGGTATATCTGTTTAACATTAAATTTTCAAAAGTTTAGATTTTTCCAATGTAATCTTGGGCTCTAAAATAAACTGGTAATGTATAATGTACAGGGTCATTATAAAATATTGTAGTCAACTCACCTATGAAAAACAAATGAAATTTTTCTCGTGCCGCTAATCACCAAAATGATTTGAACTGTTTTGAAATGTCACGAACGTCCAAACAAATCTGTCAGATGTGTCAAAAATTGAAATGCCCGGTTCGCGGTTTAATTTCATTTTAAATAGACACGAAAAGACGCCAGGCCAGAGCATTAAGGGTTGCAGTGTTATCGGGCATTTGTGAACGCCACTGCAATACATTTCAGTTTCAAAAATTGTAAATTGTCAGAAAAACGTTTAAGGGCTTTGTCATGAATTACACCTTGGAAAGTCGATTGGAGTTGAACAGAATAAATCATCTGGTCTGTTTTGCAAAGAAGCAATAATTTTTCAAATAATGAAATCCAAAAAGTGAGGTTAAGTTTGTCGAAACCAATGAACACGGTAATTATTTAAAAAATTACATTTTTATAGGTACCCTGAAGGTAAAAATTGTGAAAAATCACGTAATGGACAATGGCAGAGCAAGTCTTATCACAGTTAACGAACACTATGAGTACCTAATGAGTTTTTGCAGTAAATAATTTTGCCAAAGTTGTGATCCCGCGAAAGTTCTGTTTGTAAATTGTAAGGAATCGTCAAAATATTGGTGCAGACATGGTTTGTGACCGGTGCTTTTCTCTTGAAAAAACACAACTGAAATCCTTGATCTTCATCCCTACAATAGGTGAAAACTGCTATGTCCAAACATTACCTTCAGCTTTGCAGTTTCTAGATATCTGAAACATGCCAGATCTGCATAACAGGAATGTCAAAGAGGTTCTACCCAAAACACGCCCACATGGCCATCCTAATATCAAGATTTTTCAAAATTTCTATAAGAAAAAAGATGAAAAAACCAATAAAATTTCAGGAGCATAGTGTTAAGAGTTCTGTAGCTGATTATGAGATCTCTTGAAACAACAGAATGTTTAATAAAGATTTTTAACTTTCCTAATAGTAAAATTACAATTATTACTAAACAGTAAGTTGAAGTAAGTTTTAAATTAAGAGAATGCAACTAACACCGAAAGAAAAATGAAAGTTACTGAAAATAAAAAACTTTATTGCAGTACCTACATACACTTTCTACATCTAATTTTGTTTATTGATCACATTCATTTACTTGAAAAAGTATCAGGCCTATGAATCGTCGTCTGCTAACCACACACCAACCTTCATTGCGTGTGATGGTGTTTCTTCAAAAGCGTGAGTATTTTCTATACACCAAATTCTGAAGTTCTGTCAGTTGACATAATAGCCTAACAGATGAAACCAGGCTTCATCAGAAAAGAACGACAAATCGAGAATCCCGTTATCGTCCATATCAGCTTGAAACCAACTACACTACCCAACGCGGCAAGGAAAATCAGCTGGTTGCAGCTCCTGAACCAACAAAATCTTGTATGGATGCATATGTAACTTCTCTTTTACGATTTTCTGACATGGGCTGTATGGTACTCCGGACAGTAAAGATTTTTGACAAAGCTTTATTCGGACTTTGTTCCATTCTCATCCTTAAATCTTCAACAACGTCTTCACTAACTTGAGGTCTCCCCGTCGGTTTTCACTTAGAAATGCTACCAGTGTCGTTAAATCTGGCCATAATTCGCCATATAGCGTCTTCAAAGATTCTTCATCAATGACAACAGAACATTTCACTAGATACTCGTTTTTAGACGCCTCCACAGAGTACACTCCATCCCCATCCTCATTTAACACCCCATTACGGTAATAGGCATGATGATTGCGCCAAAGAACTAAAAAAATCATTTGTAA